TTTAACGATCTATCTAACTGGAACATGTGGCCCTTCTGTTACAGACCTCCAAATTTCAACACCTTTTTCTTTTGCAACCAAGAATCTCTCCATTCTTATCTTCCAATAATCATATTCTTCAACCACCAATGATAAGGCTCTCGTGGGGTAACCTAGGTTGTTGGCGATTTGCATTGAGTACAATGGTTGATTGGGGTTAGGAGCAGCCATTGTTGTGTTTTTTTAGCACAAATGGTATATAGAAGAATTTTTATCCTAATATAGAAATGATAGAGAAACCAAGTTATTCTCTATCAATGATAATACGACCTTGTTGATTCAAAGGACAACCACTCAATTTCTGATACCAATTGAAAGACCAAGGATATCACAGAGTAATGATTCAGACAAGGTATAATAACATATACCTCAAATAAACAACAACAATGAAGGCTATTAATGAATTCTAGTCAAGTCTGGATTATATCCACTCAAGCCTTGAAGAACAACCAAGTATTCAATGTAACAGTAAAATAAGAAATATGAATGAAACAAATATGCAAAGAGAATGCTTCGAGAGAATAACAAATGTGATTCTTGAATTTATAAAGGTGTACATAATACATGTGTTGACACTCCTATTTATAGTGACAAGGAGTTACAAATGACAAAATAGACAAATGTACAAAGGGCCTAGTAGCTCGGAAAGCTCAACAACTTCGGATGGTGAATCATTTTGGAAACACTCAATTGCTCGGATAGCCTAAGGATATTTTTTTCATGAACTAACAAGATAGATGAAAACGAATTTTTTAGTTTTTAAAATGCTTCTGGTAGGATTTTACGATCCAATTCGATCTTACTATCATGATCAGAGAACAATCTTATATAAAATCTCAATCTTGACAATCTTGGATAAAACTATATACATTTAAATTTTATTTTATGAAAAAAAAATAAAGTATTTTACAAAATATAAATCTACGATCAAGAAAATAATGTTATTTGATTGAACATTTAAATATAAATTACTTATTGAAATAAACTCAATATTTACTATATACCTAAGTAGGACCACGGCCGGTCGGCCACCACATAACAAAACTTTTTTTAGGTACGTTATGTTATTTATCTACAATTACTTAGGAAATGATCAATTCTATTTTTTCACTTTTTATATTTATTTTTAATAAATATGAAGCAACGAGAGAATGTAATAAATATGCAAATATGGAAAGAAAATAGATGAAACAAAAAGAGTAGTGGTTGTTTTATGTATCGTGCTGAAGGTCACCGCACTAATCACACTAGGTGGTGTAATGTTCTCCCACCTCCATACAATAATTAATATTCAAGAATTTAACCGAATCCGTTACAGTTTTCATGAATTTAAGCCGAGTCCGTTACAAACTCACACAATAGCTTAATGGCTACCGTTACTTTTCACAGATGAAAACCTACAAATAACGATCTGAAACCTATCGATTTTGCAGTATTTGAAAGATAATTTGTATCGAAGAAACAAATTTTGTAGGTGGAAGACGCACTAGTGTATGGAGCCATCCTCGGCACTTGCAGTGTTTACGGGGGTTTTTGGTCAAATGGGGCTGTGCTTCTGCTGTCGTCGTTTGCGTAACTTCATAAGACGGCTTATTGATTGTCTACGTCACCCACATCCTCCACCTCAACGACGTGTTTCTGCTAATCAAATATTGCATGCTGTTAAAGAGAGATATCAGTCTTGATTTAGCACTTCCCATGTCTTCGTATCTTTACATTAATGATTACATACATTACAGTAATATAATGGAGATCTATCTTTATCATTAAAAGGGTGATTAGAGGTGATAGATACCCTTCTACATGTAATTTGTCCTAAATTAAACCCTTGTGTCCGTGCCCATTTTTTTTTTCTTCACTTTAAGTACGGCGTCTTTCTTCTTTTGTGCCAAGCAGTTGCTTATCCAAAGAATACCAAATGAGGATATAGAAAATGACTGGGTGAATAACATTAAATTCATTATCAATTCTTTTCTCTTTTGTACATCAAAATAATGTGTTCTAACTTAAATATCTTCTTATTTCTGTTTGGTGTTGATATCATTAAATAAATAATCTAGCTTTACGAAATTGATCAGTCTGGTCGCCAAAAAAAAAAAAAGTCAAAACATTAAATTTTATAAAATGATCAAAATCTATCCATTATGGTCACATTGAAATTATGATCATATATCGTAATCTAGGGTCGCCAATGGTTTATTTATATATACATATTTTTTAGAATCGATTTAATTTAATGAAAACTATTCTTTTATATGTTGAATTCAAGATATGTTAAAGAGTATTTATATACTTGCTCTGTTACTATCTACAGTATAAAAACATAAAGAAAAAACGTATGGAATATTTAAAAGTTTTTTTTTTTTTTCCTTTTGAGAGAAGAAAAAAGGAGAACCCGAAATGAGATGTAATAACTTTTTTCAATTATTGGACAATCGTTACTTAAACTAACAAACTTTATATACAAAATTATCAAGTTTGTTATACCTTGTATGATCTGTTTCTTGAGATGCAGGCGAAAAAAGCTTCTCATGAAGCCTAGTAGCATAAACATATTACATGCCCAGATGTACAACATCAACTGCAAGTTAAGAATGAGCATGAAATATCATCATACAAGTGAATTGATGCCAAATTATATATTGAAATATTGGAAACCAATTCCAACTTAACAGGAGAGAGTAGATTTATATGGAACCATCCATAAAGAAAAATAATATATTATATATGTATGAGGGTAAAGGTACCTTGTCCTTGTGGTGCATCTCAACTGAGAAGTTCCTCCTTATATTCCTGCTGCTTATTCATGTATGCATATTTACAAACTTATAAAAAAAGAATATTATTTTGAAAACCTTTAGACCATGTTAAAAAAATATATTGCAAAAGGGGAATAACATCTCGTATAAAATGAAATGAAAGGAGGCAAGATGATATATATATATATATGGTGGCATGTACATATACCCTGAATTCTATGAAAAATTGATAAAACATACAAAGTAGTGTCTCATCATGTACAGCTCAAGACCTGTTTGATTGAGTTAAGAATTTTAAGATAAGATAAGAAGATACTGATACTGATACTGAATGCTCTAATTTATGTTATAACCAAAACAAGCAGGCAGGCTAGCTAGATGTTGCTTCTTCTTCGTGTTGTTTTTGTTGTTGTTGGTGCTCTGATGCATGGGAAGTGCAGTGCTCACATTGTTTCCTGAGAATCAAACAAATGCTCAATCGATTACACTACATGCTGTGCTTCTTTTCTTTTCTTTTCTTTTTTTCTCTCTTGAAAATCCAATCTTTATCTATTAACTTCTGTCTCCCAAAAATGAGTCAAAATGGCAATATGAGATGTTCTACCTAGAGAGCAAATATGTATGTTTTACCTATACATGTGGCAAAATCCTCTGACAAACACTTGTTTTTTTTTTAAATCTTAAAAATAATTAACGTGTTAAATATGATTTTTACAATATTATCAAAATAATAATGTTACTTTAATTTTAAATTAAATGATGTAGAGGGTTGTAAGCATTTGAATATAGTTTTCACAAGTAAGACAAGATATGTTTGTCTACTTGTATATCTCTGTTTTTTCAACATGTTGTGTACAATTGTAATCATTCAGTTTGCGTGCTTAAGTGAGTTTTGGAAACAAATAGAGACTAAAGTGGTGCTTCTTTTTAACTTAATGGACTTAATCTGGACAAGACTTAATTTGGTAAGATGTATATGTGTATTTCTTTTTGACTTCATGCAGAAAGAACGACTTAACAGGGAAGGTGACTTTCCCCATTATGTCTTTGACTTTTTACAAATTTGTCCTCGTTTATTTTTTCCTTCCATTCTGAAATATCTTTTAAACATCGTTCATCCAGCCAAACACTTAACAAGGCCTAAGTGACCCTGCTATTCAGCCAATGCTTGGCTTAGTTAAGAGATGAAGGATGTTACTGCATCTCTCTCTCTCTCTGTTGTCACACTCCTATGCTTAGAAAAATTGCTATTAACAGTAAAGCAAAGGAAGCCACAAAATGGTTGACTTAGATATCAGCAAACAATGCCACTTGATACTCAAATTTACTGACTCAACATGGTAAATTTGAGTCCATGTAGATATCAACCCCTCTCTTATTCGTTTCACGGGTTCCAAGACAAGCACTAAATGTAAAAAAGAGAAATAATAGATATGGAAGAGGGACAAGTGAGAAAATGAGTTTGTGAAAAAAGATGAAACTTTTGGGTTGAGAAATTGGAGTCTTACCGAAGGCCAAAGAAGAGCTGATGTAGGTGAATCGGCTGATGATGATGCTTTATGCGGGCCTTCTACTGGTACTGGTGTGGGAGGGAGGGGGGGATTATATCTTTCTTCCAAATTTATTTCATGATACGAATGATTAAAAGATAAGATATGATGAAAAAACAAAATTCTCGGACACCACACAAACAAATTCTAACAGAAATGACAACCATATGAGGTCATGTTCAAAATCCAATATGCAATAAAATTAACAGTTTATGAAAATGGAAGTCTATCCTCTATCCCAACCAGTTTCTAGTAGAAGGCCCTCTCTCTTCTTGCAATCTTACTTAAAGCTGTTTCCAGCTTCAACTGCACAATGTCCATATTTTCACAGGAGAACTTAGCAGCTAAGGCACAAATACTATTTATAGAAACTAACGACGTACATGATTCACCTAAATTTAACTTTGACAAGTTCACATGGCATATTGTGAAAATAACATGCAAGGATCCAAAAGAAAATCTTGAATAACATTTATGATGTTAACATAAAACAAACTGTGAGCTATACAATGACCATTAACTACTAAAACCTATGTACCAGGTAAAACCAAATCTATATATCTAAATTTTGGGAAGTCAGCTGAAGAGATTAATTACCTAGTGACTAGTGAGTCAAACTATATCATCTAATAAGAAGAAAAATGATATATATCTAACAAAATTTTCCATCAGAAGAAGTCATCAAAGGCCCCCTCCCTGTCACTTTCCCAGTTTTCAGATCCTGCACAAAGCAACCATCGAGAAAAAAAAAAAAAAAGATATATAATACTGTTTTTTCGGCTTTTTCCTGATTGGAAGAGATGGATTGGTTGTGGGATGATAAGGATAGAAAAAAAAAAAAGACTCTAGACTGACCTGGTTTTCAGGGGCAGAAAGGTCCTGAACTATCATCTGAAAAGCACCAGGAGTGAGAGAAGAGACTGTCTCTGTAGAACAAGTGGGAGGTGGGAAATTGAAATCGGAATCAGAATCAGTGGATGTAATATCAGAAGAGGTAGATGTGGAATCACCAAAACCATCTCTAACAATGAACCCTGAAGTTACACTGGAACTTGATGAAGCACACAATATACTTTTTAGCTCCGCAAATTGGTCTGACATGCTGTACATCATCCTGAGCCACACTAGATACATCTGGCATTAGTTGTAATTGTAATGGCATCATATCACACTTTCAATAATCTTTTCATCCTATTTATTATTCACTTAATTATATGTCCTATCCTATCTACACGATTCCTTCAATTCTACACCCCAACTCTTTCAACTCAATATTATTACTGATTAAAATATACTCTACTACCATTTTTACCGGCTAGGTTTTGGGTCTGACTTGGTTACCAACAATGTCAAATATATATACCATCCTAACTAACCTCTTTTCTTTCTCCCATGCCTTCACCTATTCATCTCCCAACTATCTATCAAACAAGCTATGCAACACTGTAAAAGATTGCAAGTAAACTAGTTTCAAGGAGACTCTTAGATTAATTGCATCAAGGTGAAGAAGTCCCATGTTGAGAGATTGCAAGCAAACTAGTCTTAAGAGAATATTACATTTAGTGTTGTACTATAAAAGAAAAAGAAAGAGAAAAATGTTCTATCTAGAATCCCATAATGGTAAGCGACCTACATCTTCAAAAACTAAGGATGTGAGCTTTCAGGCTTTAGTATGGAGTTCAATAAATGGCCCCCTTCAAACCTAAGAAACAGAAGAATATAGGATCATTATGGCATTAATATTATATTCACCTTTATGTGGAAGCAAACTTGGAGTTGTATCAGTAAATTTAAGAATAATAGCTTGACCAGGCATAACTGTCTATACATATCTTGAAATGCATCATTAATGGAACCAAAACTAAGTATCTCATTTTATCTTTATCAGGTGCTTTTTATAAAAATACGATGAAAAGGAAAGAGAATATTTGTTTAGGGTGGATGCCACAGTAATATTACCTATTCAAAGCATCTTGAAGTTGAAGTACCCTTTTTTCAGTTTCCTCCAACTTTATCCGCTTCATTTCACTTGATTCCAGGGCTTCACTGTACTTCTTTTCACATTCATCTGCTCTTTGTCTCTCTGATTCTAATAAATCCTGCATGCATATAATAAGTACATAAGGTGGATAACAAGTGAATAAGAGAATTAAAATTACATTTGAACACACTTTGTTTACTTTATGATGAGGTACCCTCAACGAAGTAAATATGACGGTTAAATTGGTCTTGATCTCCTCACTCAATGTTTTAATATCCAAGTTCCCCAAAAATGTCTAATATTCTTTTTAACTAAAGTAGAACCGGTGCTTTTACCTTGAGATTTTCCACTTCTACAGTTAAATTTTCAATCTTTTCAGTATCCACCAAGGAAACTGTGGCTTTCTCCAAAACAGACAATGTTTCACCTGATGCTTCCAATGGAGCCTCACGTTGCTGAACGAGCATTTTGTCTTCTGATTCAGTCTGCAAGATAAGGAAATTTCATGTTTGTCATGAAACATAATGTATTTTCATGTTTAATTAACACAATCAAAATTGAAATCGATACTAGTAAGGGATGATTTAGGTGCAAAAGGTGGAATTAGATATATGAAGAGTGATGAAAAAGTAAGGAATGAATTAGGTGCAAAGACCTGAAGGGGCTCTAAGGTGTGATAGATAGATAACTCCCGCTATGTTAAGGAAGCACACAAGCCTAATAACAAGTGAAAGTGAAATGCCATGAGGGATAGATATATCCTAAGGTTCTTTTTTACAAAATACAAAAAGAAAAGATGTCCCTTGAAAGTTCAGTTTAATGTCTACTTGCATTAAATTTTACCACTACTTGCTTTTGGAAAATCTTAAAACCATAATCATTGTTCATATTCAGATTACTTAGAGGCTTATTTTCCAAATAAAAAATAGAACCTCCTTCACACAACTTGAAATAAATTTACGTATATAGTATTGAAGTTACTGAAGTTAAAATACCCTTCTTTCAGTTTCTTCCAACTTTTGACGCAAAGTTTTGATTGATTCCAGGGCTTCAGAGTACTTCTTTTCAGATTCATCAGCTCGTTGTCTCTCTGAATCTAATTGACCCTACATATTGCAAATATGTAAAAAAGAATTAAAAGAGATCAAAGCAGAAAACACCAAGAACATACTTCACTAAGCAGGTAAGTTGATAATTAAAATAAAATTACCTTAAGATTTTCCACCTCAGCAGTTAAAATTTCAATCTTTCCAGTGTCCTCCATAGAAACTGACGCATGTTTCACAACAGACAAAGCTCTGTCAGATGCTTCCATTGCAAGCTCACGTTCCTTGGCCTCATTCAGATCAGTCTACATGATAAATTAACTTTATATTTGTGACAAGAAATACACAATTTCTTTTCATGTTCATTAAAAAATCAAAACTACAATCCACACTAGCAGTAGTGAGTAGTGACAGCTAGTATGAATGATTTCAGGTACTTGAGGTTGTTTAATGAATTCACATGTGTTATGTTTTCTTTTCCCTAGAACATTGCTACTTATAAGTGAATCAAGAATGATTTCTATGTGGTTTGACATGTTGGTAGTTTGGCTTCATGTGACACAACTTGTATTTACTTGCAACAAATATTTTGTCTACAGTGTACATATTTGCCACTATTATAATGTGGATGAGACAAAAGAAAGCATAGTCTTGAAATTGAAGTACCCTTCTTTCTGCTTCTTGAAGTTGAAGTACCCTTCTTTCTGTTTCATCCAACTTTAGACGCATAGATTCGACTGTTTCCAAGGCTTTTGAGAACTTCTTTTCAAATTCATCAGCCCGTTGTCTTTCTGATTCTAGTAAAGTCTGCATGCCAATAACTATATCAGATTCAGATGCCAATAAGCATATACTTCCAACCTTATATAGCAACAAAAGCATCATTAACTTGGCCTAATCATTGCCTTGCTTTTTAGGCCTTTTCAGATTAAGTGCATAGATTAAATTTACTCATATTGCATCTTCCGGTTTGAAGAAAAATCAGCTCAAGTGTAATGTAACAATCATACAGTTTCTCCTAGGAATGACACCACTTATAGAATTAAAAAACTGAAATAATAGATGTCTAGTCATCAATCAGTAACATAACATGACATGTGTAATCAAGTTTAATATACTCAAATGTTTGCACCTCCTAAATTGCTTTACTAAAAAACTGGATCATTATTTTGATAATAACTATTGTAATCAGGTTTAATATATCAAGTATTTATAAGTTTAAAAAGAATGGACAAAAGAAGTGCTGCAGGGTCATCCCAACCCGTTTTGACCATGCTAAAAATTAACCCATTTTGACTTGAGCTCATTTTGATTTGTTACCCAACTTGCTCCACCCACTGATTTTCGACCCCAAAATATCTCCTTAAAGCAGGGATACACACAATAAGGCATAAAGCAGGAACTAGCAATAAGGCTCAAAGAGAAAAAGGGAACAAAATAGGAGAAAAAATTAGGCAGGCAAATGTAGAACGAAAGGCACAGTCCTATTTGAGGGTGGGAAAGAGTAAGGAAGCTGCAAGTAATGAGGGAGCAACAGTAAAAAGTATATACTGTATGAAAAGCTCAAACAGGATGAAGGTCCCTTAGGGCCTAGACTACTCCTATGTGATTCCAAGTATCCGGAACTTAAATCACCAGTAAACACCCCTTCAACTCAACCACAGCAGATGTCACTAAAAAAAAGCATCTGAAGCTATCATGTACACTAAGATACTGGTGAAATAAACCAATTTGAACAAACACATTGTAGCACATATGCATAATTATAAGAAAAAAACCAAGTGGGTGAGGAGGGACAAGAATATTTTTTATTAAAGGTGAAATTACCTTGAGGTTTTCAACTTCTGTGCTTAAACTGTCAATCTTTTCAGTGTCATCACCAAACACAGGAACTTTTTTTACAACAGATAAACCTCCAACGTATGCTTCGGCTGCAGACCCGTTTTCCCTAGCATGCAACCCGTCTTCCAATCCAGTCTGCATAATAAAATAATTTAATATTTCTTGTGATACAAACACAATTACTTTTCATGTTTGTTTAATCAATCACAATCACAATCCCTGGTAGTGATATCAGGCTAACAGGTAGTATGTATTCATGAGTTTGTGGTTAAACTTGGACGCAATTACTATATGCTCAGTATGTCTTTTTTGTGATTATCTTACCATGTAATAAACAGGACTACTGATGGAAATTTCAAGTCATACATGAATCAAAATTGTAATCAAAAAACCAAAATGACACACATCAAGCTTCTGGATGAAAAAAGATTATCATAACTATGTTATTTATTTACTTGATGTTGAGGTCCTTCTATGAGAATATATGGCACCTAAGTAAGTCTTAATTTTCTCACCTGATGAAACTGAAATTCCAAATAATGCATTTCTAAATTATTTTCTAATTCTACAGTTGTTGTGAGTAACTTTGGTGTATAGTTTAGTATTTTACATTACTGCATGTTCACAATAGACGAAGCTTCATCAGATGCTTCTGTTGCAGACTCACGTTCCTTGGGGAGCAAACCGTCTTCCAATTCAGTCTGCGAGCATGATAAGCTTAATTTTATATTTCTGATGATACCAACATGTACAATGTCTTTTCATGCTTCTTGAAACAATCAAAATTACAATCCACACAAGCAGTAAGGTACTATCTATTCAGGTATACTAGATTAAGCTCAGAAGTCAGAACAAACTAATTTTATGCACCTATAATAACTAAATAACCATGTGATAAACTAAGCTGCTGATGGCCACAAAAATGACCTCATCAAGTGTTCAACATTAGAAGTCATTATTTAACACATACAAACCAAGAGAGGTTAAGGAGAGGAGAGAAAAAGTATATTAAAACAACATTACCTTGAGATTTTTCATGGTGGTGGGACTGTTAGATACTTCCATTACAGAATCACGATCCTTGGCATGCCATCCGTCCTCCACTTCAGTCTGCATGATAAAGCTAACTTTATATTTCTGATTCTAAAAACATGTCTTTGTCTTGTTTTTTGAACAATCAGAGTTACAATCCACACTTATAATGGTAACAGCCAAACTGGCAGCATGCATGCATGCAGGAATAATGATTAAACTCAGATTCAATAGTTTTATATTGTGATTACCTTTAGGTTTTCTGTATCACCATCCTTCATTAAGACTACAGCTTCTTTCATAATGGACAAAGCTTCACCTGATGCTTCAGTCGCTTCCTTAGCAAGCAATGTGTCACTCACATCAGGCTGCAAGATAAGATATGAGCACAATGACTTTCATTCTTAGTTAAAACAAATTTTCATTAAATTTCATCTAGTTATATATTTGACAGTTTGAAACTATATATGACTTTCATGCTTGTTGAAGTACCTTTCTTTCAGTTCCTTCCAACTTTAGACGCATAACTTTGATTGTCTCCAGGGCTTCAGCATGCTTCTTCTCAGATTCATCAGCTCTCTGTCTCTCTGATTTTAATAAAGCCTGCATGCCTTAAATATATAAGATGGCTAATTTGAAATAAATCTTCTCGAGAACATACATATATGTCATCATTTATGGAGGACTAAACAAAAGCAATCATAGTCTGAAGTTTTCAGTTTCTTCCAACTTCATAATTTCAAATTTTTACCTGGGCTTCAGCATACTTCTTCTCAGATTCATCAGCTCGTTGTCTCTCTGATTCTAATGAAGCCTGCAAACATATGAGCCTATAAGACAGGTATTATTGTAGTAACACATACAAATCACAGGGTGGGCAGAGAGATTTATAATCATTTTATATGGAACAAACCATACCTTCAAATTTTCCACCTCAGCAGTTAAGCCATCTATCATTCCCCCATGGGCCCCATCAGGTGCATTTGTTGCATACTCGCGTTCCTTGGCAAGCAATGATTGTTCCAACTGAGTCTGCATGATAATGTAACATGTATTTCAGGAATCTGATGGAGCCTCAATTAGTTGACTTGTCTACTTGTCTTTTGATCATTATATAATTTCCATGTGATCAAGAGCCTACTGATGAAAGAATAACTTTCTAGTCTGGCCTAACACTTGACATGGAGGCATTCACATCAAATGCCAAAAAAATTGAGAGGCATGAAATATACTGAGATATAAGAATATTGATGGAAAGAATAAGGTGCAAAGACCTAGCGGAGGAGTTTTAAGATTGTGGCCTGTTATATATAATGACTTGGAGGTTGTTCCTTTTTTACTTAATGAGTTTTATGGGCCAAGAACTTAATCTGGACAGCTATATATGGCTGTTTCTTTTATACTTAATCTGGACAGAATGACTTAAAGGATTAACCCAAAAAAACATGGCTTAATGTATTGGGATTTAGGACACCAACCCTTTACCTATTTTTCTGCAGTGTTTGCACCCAACTCCTTTCAGGTTAAAATTGATGAAAATTGTTTGTTGGAATGCAAGGGTAAATGGGTAATATGATTAGTCACATTCAGATGTTTATTCAGTCAATAAAAGAAACAGATCTTTATCCAGACAGACATCATTACCTACACAGCAGCTCTACTGCTCTACCCATACAGGACTTATTGGGGGGAAAAGGAAACAACCCTTTAGATACCTAATACTAGAGTAGTTTAGTCTATTCTATTTACAATTAGTGATTTCTATTTTAGTATAAAATAACCTTTAAGAAATGCAGATAGAGATAGACATGTGCTTCACTTCATATTCTGGTATATAGTTTAGTATTTTATAGCCATACATGGTAAGCAAATACAAACCAGTGGAATGGAATGAAGGATTATCTAGAAAATGAACTAATGTTACCTTTAAACGTATTTCATGCTCTAAACGTTGTGTAAGCTCTTGTACTTGTTTTTGAAGCTTATCCTTCAACTCTTGCAGTGCCCCATTGTCCCTTGCAGCCTGTATAAGTTGAAAGTAAGCAACAAATGATATAAAGACTGGTTCAGCAGAATTTTTGGATAGAGAGAAACTAGGATTGATCAAAGACCTTATCAATCAATATATAAGATAAAGAAAACAAACCATCTTTAATCTGCGAAGCTCTCTCTTAGCAACTCTTTGCCTCCATCCACATTGTGTTGCCACTGTTGCCTTTGAGAGTTTCTTATACTGAATATACTCTCTATGACCACGCCATTTGGCCTAGAAGAACTGACTCATATTAGAGCAACAGAAAAAGGTTTGGATTTATAAATAAGCATGTGAAAGCCAGGTACTGACTTCTAAAAGAGTAGCTGCCTTTTTTTCTCTCCTGTATCCAAGCTCATGACGAGCTATCGTTGCTCTCACACCTGCCTGAATGAGAACCACTGCATGCCTGAGTCTGTTGTAGGAAGTCCTTAATGTGTATCGCCTAAAGTTAGTCTGAATTTTCGTTGACACAGCCGTCTTTCTCATATCTTCATATGCCTTAGAAGCAAGCTTTCCTGGTAAGAAACAATACAAGAATGAGTGTAAAACACAGTTCCATTATTATATATATATACACACACATCAAGAAAAAAGAAGCAGAATCCAAGAACAGACCTCTGCATAAAGTTTGCAAGGCAACAGCAAGATTGGCCATAGCAAGAAAACGCCTCCTAATGAGAAAACTTCTTGTTGTTCTCTGGATAGTTACGACTGCAGCACTAAGCCTTTCTGATCTCCTTGCATCTAATGCAGCCATATGACCGGCTCTAAGAAAAACTTTTGTTTTCCCAATCTGTCAACTCATATATAGACTTTATATAAGTATAAACTAATGCATATGAATGGAAGCTAAACTTAGAATTAATCGATAAAAACTTAATTACCTGATACCCTCGAAGTCCAGCTGTGTCCAGAATCTTTCTACAAGCATCCTTCCTGTCATGACTGTTGATACAAGTGATAAGTAAACAAATCCATTAGGTATTTAAATCAATTGTACTTACTTTGATCTTAAAACTTCAGGAACTAGAAGACCAAATCGCTTTACAAAATCAGCAAAAGCCTTGTTGGTAGGGTACCCTGCACAGCTTATACGAATTGCTTCTAGAACCCCCTTCATGAAAAGTAAACAAAAGAAACTTCAAATATGATTCAAGAAATCTTTATAAAAGTTCAAACATCATCATATGCAGTCTACTCACCCCACAACGTAATTGATGAATGATGTTGACATTATCAAAGACAGCAGGTTTAAGAAGATTATTTGGCTTCACACATCTGATATAGTGGGGCTGTGTGGAATTCAGAGTCTCCATCAATTGTTGAAGTTGTTGCTGCATTAAGATTATATGTTTCGGTTTAAACTTTTTATCTCATAGTTGATTAACATTGTCTGATTATTTTAAAAGAAAACTTACTTTGAAGCGAGAGCCAATCGATGAGAACTTGGATTTGGATTTTTTCGTTGTTTCCTCACTTGGTGGAGGGAAAAGCGCTGCTACAAAAGAGCACTTTGAAGTACTCAACAAATCTTGATGTTCAGGAACAATATAATCTTTGTTTTTGTCTAGAAATTGATCAGACTGGTAGTGAACCTGAATATTGACACCAAACACATGCTTTAAGCCTAGAGAGATGTTAGCAGCCTTCTTACCTATAAGATCTGGAGAAATATACATTACCTCTCCAGCATAATGAGCAATTATGAAATCTGAGCGTGACAGTTTTGGTTTGTTAAACCGTTTGTGTTTACTGAATGTCTGGTAGAGCTTCTGTGAAAAAGTTTCAGGAGTTGACTTGGGAAACATACTGGAAACAGAAATAGTCAGTCAGCCAGTCATGAGCTACTAACAACCTTACTCAACATGAATACAGAGACATATTATCAATATTTGTGCACTCATAGCATATCTAAAAGCATATAAGAACGTTAATATAAAGACAGGGATGCATTTGGTTTGAATGTTGCTTACCAGGCTTCATCAAGTAGAGCAATGATCCCACCAGGTTTCTGCATATAGAATACAAACATTAAATTTATAGGTTTCAAAAGAATGAGTTGAGGTTTATTGAACCTTTTCAATAAGATCTAGGATGTCCTTGTTGTCTACAAACTCTATGTAGCTCCAGTCAATTTCCTCTTTGGTGTATATCTCTTGTTGCATCCTAAAAACATGCTGTATAAAAGGGGACAAACAATTGGGAATCAATTAAATGCTCACTCTCACAGAGAGGATATTAACAGCTTTTTCAAAAACACCACAAGTCACACCTGATTGAAGTGTTGTTGTAGCTTCTCATTAGTGAAATTAATACAAAACTGCTCAAAACTGCACAATTTAAACAGATTTATGATTCAATTATCTCAATCAAGTCAACAAAGAAGCAGTTATATTAATAACAGTTCCAGCCAAGAATTTTCACCTATTGGTTTTAAAGCTCTCAAAACCATATATGTCAAGGACGCCAATCAGAGAATTTGACTTCGGATCTTGCCCAATTGACACATTAATTTTATCCACCAACCTGTAAATATCAATAATCATGCACCTCCACAAGATAAGGTAATGAAGAAATTTGTTTCAAAAGGTACCCGTTGAACAATAAACTAATAAAATAAATCAGATCAATATGAAAGGCTGAACTACCAGTCAAACAAGCGAGAATATAAGGTCTTAGCCAAACCATCCCTGCTGAAGGTTGCACCTTCAGGATCAAGGCTTCTCTTAATAACTTCTTCTGGAGTAATCATCACACGCTTCAGTAGCGCATCTTCTAGTGCATGTAGATCACACCTGACAAAGTAGACAGAAGTTCAAACATATACACACATATATATATATATATATATATATATATATATATATATATATATATATATAGACATGTGTTCAAAAAAGGGTAACAGAAATAACAATATTATCAAAGCTGTACACACACATTAGCAGCTCTGCTGTCATCTGAAGATGAAATTTGGATTTATCATCTTTCAAAACTGAAGAATCAATCTCTTCCCCTTTGGCAAATTCAAGATTACCAAGATGGAGAATTGAAGCCACAACTCTGAAAATTGCATCCTGGAAAATATGTATGTTAATGTTATTGACAGGTTATTATACAATAAAAAAAAATAACAAACTGTTCCGTTTAAAGAAGTTAAATTAACCTGTTCCTTTTTGCTTATTCCAACAATATCCATGGCTCTCCTAGTAGCAAGATAATCATGGGCATCGCTTACACCAACAAGTTCATAGCAATTTGATTGATTGAGATAGTGAAATGATTTAGGATCTCCCAATTTATATTTCTTGGTTTCCTTCAAAGTTATGAAAAGAGTCAAACACAATTTAAGTAATATCATATGTAATGTAATAAAAAAAAAACTACCTCTGGAGGTGCTGCACAAAGGAGATAGAAACAATGATAGTTGCGTTCAGGATCCGAAATTTGGCAAACACGAGATCTTTCTAGAAGGTATGTCCGGATAGCTGCTCCAGATATTCTTCCATGTTTATCAAACTGAATCTCAACAAATTTTCCAAAACGGCTGCATGCATCGGGAGATATTTTTAGCAACATAATTAATTAGCAAATTTCTTGCAGCATAACTTAAAAAAGTCCTGCACCTGGAATTGTTGTTTCTAACAGTCTTTGCATTGCCAAATGCTTCCAAAACTGGATTTGACTGCATTTACAACATAGAATCAAGAGAAGTTGATAACTGGTTCAATGGAGCATTTAAAGAGATACTAGAAAGATTTGAAGTTACTTTGGCATCTTACTTCTAGAACTTGTTGTTCAACTGTTCGCCCTTCTGTGCCTCTGTGTCCACCAACATGTGCAAGATAGCGCATAAGCATTTTAGTAGTCTCAGTCTTACCTGCCCCACTTTCACCACTAACCAAGATGGAGTTGCTTTTTCCTCCATTAACCATTTCCCTGATTCATGATTCATCTCAAGTAAGCATGTCTATGAGATCCTTTAGATGATATATATATATATATATATATATATATATATATATATATATATATATATATATATATATATATATATATATGTAAACAGAACACAAAAGGAAGGGTATGTTATGATTACTTGAAAGCAATTTCTGCAATTGCAAATACATGAGGACTTAAAGCCCCAAATTGTGCTCCTTTATATTTTTCCATCATGTGTGCATCATACAAGTGGGGCAAACTTTGAAATGGGTTAATGGCGATGAGTATATTGCCTGTATAAGTCTGCCACAATGTCAGAGTAGGATATAATATTATGACAAGCCTCCGATAACTGCAGTAATTAATCAAATGTTTTGTCTCACCAGACTGAATGAACAAGACTAAAAAATGAAACTGAAGTTGGAGATCCTCTTACATAGATTTTATCTCGTTGATATCTGATAGCTAGATTATGCAAAACTCCAGGCTCATGCAAATAAGAAAGCTTGGTCATGTCATCAACTCCACCATCAGGAGTGTCCATCTCTTTAGGGTAGATTTTTGATAGTTTTATAACAACCTATCCACAGTAAATGGTAAATAAAATGGTGAAATTCGTGAAAATACTAAATGGACATTTGGCAAGAGCATACGATTGATTAACTTACTTTCTTCCCATCAGTAGTTCGGATCTCAGCTTCTGTTCCATCTATTTTCAACACCTCTCCATCGATCCAAGCCACTGATGGGTTTTCCACCCATACCTGAGAACCTACGGTGATTTTTCCCGTAGTATCCTGCATATGGATTCAAAGAGTCATCAGAAAACCACATGAATAAATACTCTAATCATAAAATGTAAACACCTTTATAGGAATCATCCACATATTCTATCATAGTTTCGGATTCTGGCAATTCATTGAGAAAATGGTATAAGAAATGTTATCTATGATGATTCAACCGATAAATGGTCCTTGTTAAGTTAGATGAAGATATTTTGGATGTGGGCATAACATAAATAACAAAAGCTATCTTCCCTTTTATTCCAAACCTGAGAGATTGATTCTTCTCATAGTTGCAGAACTTGGTCCCTATAGTTTATTAATTGTCAAAAGCCTATCAACTATATATCTTTTCATGTAGGGGTTTTTAAAAGGACTAAAGATTAATGTGATTTCTGAAGGGGTAGAAACCTCGAAAAACTAAGGATTTAACATGATTTTCGGTATTAAAAGATTTCATAGCATTTTCTACCATCACTATTTCACTTGTATAGGTCAAGCAAGTCTAGAAGCCCTCTCTAAGTCTATGCTCCCAAACACAAAATCGAACACAATTAACATAACTGATTTAAGCTAAATATCCTTTGACTATGATCTGAAAGTATTCAGTTTCAATTTTACAAAACCATATTCTACAATTACAGAAGAAAATCTTATAATTTGAAAATTTAAGTGCACGCAAGATAAAAGATATGGCCACAAAATCTATTTAGCATGTTGAATTACACGATAATTTATCAATCGTGCATCAAGAACAGGGCTAAATCTCAGAAACGAAAGGCATAATATGTGCATACGGACTTGATATATAAACCTATAAATTCTTGACGACAATCAGCTCTATCGTGATTTTGTATGGATAATAAGTCTTCACACAGTGTACTCTCTTAGAAAAACAAAAAGTTTGATCATTGCCCGTATACTTACAGGTACAACAAAGTAAAAACAGAAATACATAATTACATACCATCAGAATATCAAATGCGCAGCTCTGACGCTATAAATTCCTTCATCGTTAAAAAAAAAGTGCATCAATGTCCCCAATCTGAACACCGAAACCAAATCTCTTCACCGTGAAAACGCGAGTGCGTTTATTGATACATGCCACGAAATAACCTAATCGATAACATCAACATGAGCGCAATGCTACCGTGTATCCACAAAGCATAAAGCGAACGGCCTGCCACAAACACCCCCTGAATTTCGAGATCAACGATCGTCCACTTCCAATCCCTCCATCTCTTCCCGATGTTTACATCAAAAATACAATTCGGTCTTCCATGATATCATATCAAACACAACCGCGCCTGGGAAATTCGTGAAACAACATATATAAATGAAAATCAGCGTTTCTGGAAACGATTGTCGGAAAAAGAAATGGATATATCGAATCCGGCGAACATAGAGATCGTACGACGATGATGTTGAGTTGGAGAGTGAAGCTGGAATTTGCCAATTGGATTGAACCGGTTTGGTTTGTGATGTCGTGGCGCTCGATCTGCGAGACAATGTTGATGGAAACGCTAACGATTCGGAGCCGTTTGAATCACTGTAGAAATTCGCCGATTTGTGGGAGCTCTTTGTGGTTGTGGCTCTCTTCATCTCTCTCATGGTTTCGGATCCTACAAGTTCGCGCCTCAACAATCCGTTCCTACTGCCATGCACGGTAGGGAAATTTTTGGTGGGTAATCCTAATAATATCTTTACCTCGTTATTTTACAATTTATGGATACATGTAATACCTTCCTTTTGGTGTGATTTGACAATTTATAATCTGACAATTTAGGCGACAATTTAGTGTTTTAAGAAATAAAACACGTCTTCAAAACATAAATATTTTCAATATAGTAAAAATTAATAAATAGTACAAATCTAAATTTAATGTAATACTTGTTCATTGGATAGAAAATCAGAAAAAAAAAATCTATATAAAAAAGAATTAGATAAAAATCAACTACCAAAAAAATAATTATTGAAGGATAGGAGTAGAAACTAAGGTCCGTTTGATAGTTTCTGTCTGGGAAAATACTGTCTGGTAAAGTGTTGTCTGAGAAAGTTTTCTGACTGGGAAAGAAATCATGTTGTTTGATTGTACATCTGATTGACTGTGCTGAATGATGAAAAAAATTAATAATTCAATAAAAAATAAATTTGAAAAAAGTTATTTAAAAAAATTAATAATCCAATAAAGAAAGAAAGAGGCGGGGTTTGGTGTATAATTGTCTTTCCAGCCCATTCAGCCAGAAAGATATGATTTTGGGGCTTTCTGGGAAAGACATATCTTACCGGGAAAGACCCCTTATTTTGTGCAAATCAAACAGTCTTTCCGGTCCATTCAGCCAGAAAGATCTGTTTGGACCTGGAAAGATGTGTATCAAACGGGGCCTAAGGGGAATGAATACTAGTCCCGTGTTCAAAATATCCAACATCAAACTCAAAAGTATATTGCGTGATAAACTTTTAGGCATAATGAAAGGGTTTTTATCGAGTCTCAAATTTTTGAAAAAAGTTTTAATTTAGGTTGTCTGTGAACTTAAGGTTTAAGTGTTTTTTTGTCATATGAATTTTTTTATAACCAAGAAAACTCATCAGTAAGTATTGTGTATATTCATATTTTCAGGAGCTTGACATGAAGGCGTCATCTTAGTTGTCATTGAATAGTTGGGTGCCATTGACACTATTCAAAGCAGAAACATTGGTTTTTCTCGATATAAATTATAGCAAAAAGTTGTTTCCTTGTTTAAAATTCAAAGATACATACATTCCATTGAAGTTAAAATGTAAGGTTAAATGCAGTAAGCCATAGAAACTTTCAGTTGTTAACTGATAAACAACAATACATGTAACCTTATTTTGTAATTACTCAGAAGCAAGAGTAATGGATTTTTATGAAATTATTCCACTCGTTTATTTGATTTAGGACATTGGAGGAAATAGCAACGTACATTATAATTTTTACTACATTCTCATATTTATTTACCCTAATAATCACACCCAATAAACCGAAATTAATGAAGAACATGTAAGCAATGTCTCAAACTTTATGCCTAAAGATTATCATATTTACCCTAATTTTCAGGAAAATCATACAACTTAGTTTTATACATATAAATTATTAAATATGTAACATAAAAACTGAAATTAATTTCCCTAAAAATGTCTAATTTGCACGGTATAGCAACGTACTTTAAGTTAAGCAAGAACATGTCCCCCTAATTGTTTTCTGGATCATATGTAAATACCCCACCACCTATATCAACTATCACTATAGAAAAACATTCATAAAGAAGTCACTATTTGAGTATATTTCATCTTTTAACAAAAAAAAAAAGAACAATGTTTTAGAATTTATTAGTGAAGTAGAAGTAGAACTTTGCTTTGTGGTATACATTGGTACATCAAACTTTACAAGTGGGATTTGATCAAACTTTTTCTATAATAAAAACATGAATAAAGACGCATAAGAATCTAGTTTGGTTAAATCATATTCAAAATCAGAAATAGGAAATAAACTTGGCGTTTTCACGTGTCACTATTTTTACTAATTCATATTTAGGTTGATTATATCCAAACCAAACATTCTCAGGCTATAAGATCTTAATTATGTATAACTATGATGCATACACTAAGCAACTACAGTAAGATGTCAGTTTCATATAAAGAAATCCTAGGCTATCAGACATCATATAATTAGGCAATTCTATCATGCAATTCATGAAGATCCCTAGCCTAGTACTAGCATGTTGTTCTAACATATCTCAATATCAAATAACTGCATGGTATTTTGGGGGTCTACTTACTGGCTCCGGCTGATCGTACACTTTGCATCCTCCTTTAATTATTTTGAAAACCTTTTTAAAACCATTTTGAAAATCTTTTCCTTAGCTTGAGACTGGATTCACATGATTGTTCCTCCAATTCACTCAAACTAAGGCTCTGATACCCAACTTGTAACACCCATAAAAAATCAAGCCAATTTCAAACTTTTACAAAGTGTTTTCAAAATATTTTAAACATCAGAGTATCCTAGAAATCCAGATCATAAAACATGAGGAGGTGTACGATCACGCCTTCGCCTTCCCGCGATCATCTGAAGTGTGAGTTCCCCCAAAATAACCATACACACAACAATATACACATAATCACAAACAGCATACTATGGGTCTAATCAACCATCGGGTTGGAATACCCCAGGCCCTCAACCATCGGGTTGGAATGCCAACATACTATGGGTCCAGTCATTCTCGGGATGGAATACCCTTGGCCCACAACCATCGGGTTGGAATGCCCACATACTACGAGTCCAATCATCCACGGGATGGAATACTCATGGCCCACAACCATCGGGTTGGAATGCCTAGGTCCGTTGGCTCTCGCACAAAGTAGACAAGCCTCAACCACCAATCAAACATGTGCACATATATCAGATAATCACATAACAATTTATAGACAGACAAGCCGATCTAACAGATCATAACAGCATAATAACATCGTATCTACCAGGATACCGATCTAACAGATCATACTAGCATAACATCATCCTATCTACCAGGATACTGATCCAACAGATCATAACATCATAATACCATCCTGACTACCAAGATACTGATCTAATAGATCAAACTAGCATAACATATCAGGATAACAATTCAAAAAGGGTCGGCCTTGGTGCCTTAGACCCTTAAGTATAGTGAGGAAAACCCACCTCACAAATGTTGAACTGTAGTGATAAGGTCAAACTCTCGAATCACATCCACGAACTCTACCACCTATATTCACCATAGGACCACTTCCATAAATTCCTAATTTACTAAAATACCCCCAGAAGTCAAACTGGTCAACCCTTTGTCAAAGTCAAAGTTAACGGTCAAGGTCAACAGTCCATGTTGACTCAACTCGTCGAGTGCAGCTCACTGACTCGTTGTAACACCAGTCAAATTTAGGTCAAAAATAAATTGATCAATAATCGTAGTTAGGATGAACAAAGTGGTAGAGATTGTAACAAGGTTTCCAAAAAATATAAAGAACACTGAAATTTGAGTTATAACGAAGAAGTTATGACCAATCGAAGATCCGCGACAAAACCGGCAAAACACTGTTCAGTG